CAGTTAAACACATGAAATGCCTCGTGGCCATTATTCCTCGACGGCTCAACATTATCAAACAAAACGCCTCGTCGTTGTTAATGTTTAACGGCTCGGCTTCGATTTACAAAGCGCCTCGTTTCAGCTCGGCATTATCGAGCAAACGCCTCGTTATTACTCTTCGCGGCACGCCTCAGTGAAAGCAACGTGTAAGGATTCCGCAAAGAGCATCGTCTCTCCTTTATTCCTTAGCACGATGGTTAATTCTGTGACCGAGAATGACGAACCTTGTCACTCTCGTCTCCGAAACTGACGAGCTGGGGGCTAACTGTTGGGGTCAGTTTCACACCAAACATTTTAACCATCTTGAAAATGATTAAGTACCTGGAAAAATCAAGGCCCGCAAAGGAAAAACCGAGCTACGCACATGGGCCGAGCCGAGCCGCATCTTAGTTGGATTGGGCCGAGCCCTGCGAGGGAGTAAGTGGGCCGAGCCGTATCGTGAGACATGGGCCGAGCCGCGCCTCGATTAGTTGGGCCGAACTGCATGATGCTTCAGTAAGCAGACTCCAACAACAAATGGGCCTAGCCGCAAAGATGTAAGGCCTGTAAAAACCCTAGGCAAAGCGTTATGGCGGCGGCTGCACGAGGCGAAAAGGAATTATTCTGAAAATCTTTTCCGAGATTTTCGGCTATGCGGTTTAAAGAATTAGTATAGATAGTCATGTATTCGATTCATTATAGCAGCCAAATACACTCTTGAGTTCGTCCTTTCCTAAGTAATTCAAGAGTGATTCATTTGCTTTTCTCATTCTCTACTAAAGAACAATTTCTAGTTCTGCTGTTATTTCTCTCTTAATAATGAATCTAATTACAGATTCTGATCCTTCTCTTGAGTATAAAAACTCTGATTGTGTTGAATTAATCCTCAGGATCAGTCTCATATAGATTTATTTCTCTCCTTGATACAATCGGTTTCATTCAAATTGGTGAGGTTCTATCAAGTTCTTTGTGTTGGTTCAGTCACAAGTTGATTGTTCCTTCTCTCATTTTCAAAAATTCCAACATGGTATCAGAGCAGTCTTTCTTGGTAACGTTCCAAATCTCGTTTTCACCATTTTTATTCAAGACTGTTTTTTCTCTTGTTTAAAGTCATGGAAAACACTAAGTCTTGTGTTATTTCTTGGCTCTTGTTGTTTAAAGCTCACAAAAAATTCTTCTCCATATGTTATTCTGTGAGTAATTTTTTTTAAAGCCATTAAAACACCAAAGTTCTTGCTGTTCTTGGTTGTTCTTGGCTCTCTTTGCTTCCGCAAAACTTAGGAAATACTGAGCAAAAATCTGTCCATTTGAACTCTTGAGGAAATTCTCTATTCTCTATTCTCTTTTGCTTCCGCGTATTATGTCTATTCTCCATTATTCTCTAAATTCTGTTCTCTTCCACTATTCTCTCTATTCTTCACCAATCTCCTAATTCTTTATTCTCTCAACCTCTCACTATCATAAATAACTCAAAATTTCAAACAGTGAGATGGTATTTTTTTTTCATTTGGGTTCGCTTGCTCCCTCATGAAAGCATAGTGAGTGTGCAGTGTTTTGAAACAGTCATGAGGCTGGATTCAAACACTAAAGGCTTCAAGAAAGCCATGAGAAGATGCGCAACATAATGCATGGAGTTTGAACCAGTAACCATCAAGCTTTGGAGACCACAAGACAAGCCCAACCTAGTCTTAACCCGGCTGACTTGAAGATGGCGGACCCCAAGGTGGCTAAGGTGGAAGTTCAAGTGGAAAGGAAAGCTGGTGGGACGCTCTGAACAACCCCAAAGCATAACGGTGTGTATAGCTGTCAAGATAACGGTGTCAAACCATATCCAAGTCAAGAAGTTTGGAAGAGGATAAACCTCAAATGGAGAGACAAATCGATGCAATGTCTCATGGAGCAAAACCGCATCTCAAAATCCTCAAAGTCCTTTTCATCTCAAAAGGGTAAACTCTAAACTGTATCCCATTTTTCATTTTTTAATTTCATTACCTGAGTCTATTATGCTTTAGTATTTTCTCATTTTGCAAAACTCAAGTTTCATCTATGTTTCTTAAAACCCCACAACATATACTTTAAAATTTTTCTTTAAATCGCATGATGAAGGTTTAAAGGAGAGGAGGAATGTGTGAAAATTCTCAAAAAAAAGCAATAGGAGGAATGAAGAGGTTTTTGAGAAGAGAAATCAAGTCAAGAAGGGCTAAAAGGAATGGAAACACTTGGGAGATGGTGCCAATTCTGAATTTCAAACGAAGGCCATAGCTACATCAAGAAATCTATACTCTTTTTCCCTTCTTAAAGTTTTATCCCAAGAAGTTTTCTTTATAAAGATTTTTAATGACTTAGTATGGCGTGTTGCAAGCTTGGCCTCTGGTCCTCTTTGGTCGACGAGAAAGCTTGTGGGAGAGTACTAGAGAGGAAGAAGAGAAGAAGAGGCGAGGCTGAAGTCAAGAAAACAAGTCCGAAGACTTTTACTCAAGATCCAAGTTGGTGCGGTTCAAAGAATATAAATGAAGGATTAATGTTACACTGAGAGTTTATGGAGGAGTTAATGAATTGTTGTCTAAGGATTGAAGGAGTTAGATAAGTGGAGTTCTCAGTAGATCAGCAAGTAGGACGCTTAGAGGCTGAAGACTGAAAAGCTTCCATACAGATCAAGATTGTGTGGTGAGCTGCGAATTGATTTGACCGTTAAAGGCTGATAAGAGACCATACAGCTCAACATTCTAGCGAGACTCAATCACTTAGACACAATCACTTAGTCTCGGTACATCTACAAAAAGATCAAGGCCGAGGTTCATCTACAAGAAGGCCGAGGCCCATATCCAAGAAGAACAAGAATGAGAAGGAACAAAGCCTAGTGTATCCAAGACAAAGCCCATAAGTGACAAGAAGAGGAGAGAAACCGATTTGAATTGGAGTCTGGACTCACACGTTTGTGAGCTGTCACTTTCAAGAGTGTGAACACAGAATAAAGAAGACATGTGACTCTGTCCTTCCCTGTCATACTATTTTAGAGTGTTCACACTAGATTTCTCATGTTTAATTCTCTATATATATGTCTGTAATATGGTCACAAGAATCTTCTTAATATACACAAGTATTTTACACGATATTTTCTCTCTTATTTTTCTCTTGTATTCTTGTCTTAAATTCACAATGTAGACTAAGTAAGAACACGTTTAGGGCTGCTTATAGCAGCCAAATACACTCTTGGATTCTTCCTTTCCTAAGTAATTCAAGAGTGATTCATTTGCTTTTCTCATTCTCTACTAAAGAACAATTTCTAGTTCTCTTGTTATTTCTCTCTTAATAATGAATCTAATTACTGATTCTGATCCTTCTCTTGATTATAAAACTCTTATTGTGTTGTATTACTCCTCAGGTTCAGTCTCATATAGATTTATTTCTCTCCTTGATAGAATCGGTTTCATTCACTTTGGTGAGGTTCTATCAAGTTCTTTGTGTTGGTTCAGTCACAAGTTTATTGTTTCTTCTCTCGTTTTCATAAATTCTAACGGATGTCGTCTTCTACATCTTATAATTTTCCTTTCAATTTCATCATCTTCTCGAAAGGGAAACTAAGGTTTCTGATTTAGAAACTAAGATTTCCGATTTAGGTATTTTGTTTCTTATTTTCTGTCAATTTATCTTCATTATCTCTAATTAATCCCATCGCATAACATTTTTTCATGCCATATTAACATAAACTATTGGGTTGGGTATTTTGGTAGTATTGAGTTGGGTACCTTTAGAGTTTCTGCGAATAGCCCAGTGTGCTTAGATAGTTTTTACGAAAATTGAGGCCCATATTGCTCATTTGGCCCAATTTATTTGCCAATCTGCGCGCGTGAGTTTCATTGTTTTCGGTTGTTATGCGCGCGTAACCTTTTTATTGCTGGGACCCACGTTTATTTTTTGTGCCTATTTTCTCTAAATTATATATCTCTTTATCTCTGTCCCTCTCTAAGAGGCTAGTGTAAGTTTGGGGTTATGAAAATATGATTCCACATAAACTAGCCTAATACTAATAAAAACTTAAAAGTATCCATTCCTCAAATTAAAACTTGAAAACTACACTATTGCTCCATATTTCTAATATTTTAATTTCTTATTTCTTTTAACTGGACAAGACTAACAGGTATCTCCAAATTTTCTGCCTCCGTCAAAACCTTTGCCCATCTCGGGAAATCATCGGTTTGTGTCTCTCCAAAACGTAGATGTATCTCGTTTCTTCCCCTCTGACATTTTTATCTTTGCCCACCACCTTTGTAACAAGAGTCGCGACTGCGGATAAGAGCGAGTTTATAATCTTTCATTTGAGTTTTTGCGGACACACCGAGTCAACTTACTAAGTTGGGTTTGAACTTGACCCCTCTTACACCTTCAAACGAGAACAACAACGCCTCTAGTGAGGACGGCCGATCCCAATATGCTTTTTAAAAGAGTTTCACCAGACGAAATAGTTCTTAGTGAAAAAAAAAGAAGTTGTCTCTTGTTAATTTGATTTGATAAAATGATGCATGTTTTCCTTTCACGTATATTTGATACTTGAACTTGAAAGTTTACAGTTAATAATTGAGTTACTGCGTTGAACAAAATATTAGAGATAAACTTACATGTTTATATTGTACAATAAATATTGTTATGTGTTACAAGAATATATATAACTTTGAACTAGATCATATACCCAAGTAATTTTGCTATAATGATTATAAGGTTTTTAATTAATAGGTTATACACAAATAAAACACGGAATAACCATCTCAATGTGTATAATATAATATTAAGCATGGTAAAATAATGATTAACTACCAGCCGAAAGTAAATTCGTACGTAGAGAGAACTTAGTATGGATTGTAAGAACAGCTCATATTTATTAATCACCGTACCGAAGAACATATCATGATAGAGATGATTATTCCAAATAACAAATAAACAGCTAACATATAAACTAAATATCCATTGGAGTGAATCGCTTAGTTTCTTTTGAACTTGATTTGACATGAGTATTGAAGAAGAGGTGCGAAGAAGCGGCTGTTGAACAACGTGTGAACGTGGCTATTGCACTTCTTGTCCATCTTCACAAAGATTTCACAACACTCCTTGTCCAAAACAAAATCCTTTTTTGCCCAGCTCGAGAATATTTGTGAAAAGCATTTCTCTGTGGTCTTTGATCCATCTTTTGTCAAGCAGTTCTCCATTTCTAATGATTGCGAAAAGACTACTGATTGGAATGGTGGTAAAGGAGGCAGACTCAGTAAGCTAGGGAGGCCTGGGAGGCCCGGGAGGCCCGGAAGGGGAGGGAGGCGAGGAAGGGTCGGGAGGTCAGGGAGGTCTGGGAGGCGAGGGAGTCCCGGTAAGTCTGGGAGACGAGGGAAGTCTGGAAGGTCTGGGAGGCTAGGGAGATTAGGGATACCCGGTATGTTAGGGAATCCTGGAATGTTTGGAGTCCCCAGGATGTTTGGTAGTTCTTGGATGCTAGGAAGTCCCGGGATGTTCGGAAACCCTGGAAGTAATCCCGAAGGTGATGGAGGTGCGTTTTGTTCTGTGACAGTAGTGCAAACCCAACCAACCTTGGAGTCTGTGAGGTGGCCAGAGCCTTTCAAATGATAGTGGCCTGCCGCTAGTTCTGACGGCTTAGGCCACGGTATCTTTGGTAATCCAACTGTTGAAATCGGTAGAGTGACTAGGCAAAGCAGAGCTACAAGGAGTGTTATGTTTAAAATGAAGCTCTTCATGACTACGGCAACAACGAAAAGATTATGGATTTGTCAATGAATTGACTAGTCCACAGATACAATTTTGTGGGACTGGACTAGTTTATATATAGGTGTTCTCTTTCTCTCTTTTTTTTTTTTTTTTTGATACACTAGCCTTTTAAAAATGTTAAAGATAAAAATTATTACAGATGGCTATACGAGCATAACCTAATTTATCTTATTGGAAAATAAGTTTTGATATTTTCCCTAATCACGTCGTTTACATTTTACTAAATATCAGGTCACAGGGATCATGTGATATGTGAAGATGCCAAGATGAAAAAAAAGAAAAATAATTTTGGAATCGATGTTAAAATGTACATACACTATATGCGTTATTTTTGTCTTGTCACGTACATACATATATGCGGTGCAAGATGTACGTAATTAAGTAGGGTGTCGTTTTTTTTTTCTGCTGACAACATTTGGAACATTTTTTTTCTCTCGTAATTAACTTGGGTGTAGGTAACTAACTATATATAAAGATTAGCATGATAATCGGATTTTTTCGAGCATTTTGCGGAAATTGACAATAAGATCAATCGTAAGGACCTAAGGTAATTATATAAAACAATGCATTTGTAGCACATATGTTTGCGAAGCATTTCGGCTTTTTTTTTTTTTTTTTGAGAAAATGCATTTCGGTTTTCCCTTCAACAATATGATGTACTGAACATTTTATTCTTCTGTTACTGTTGATTTATAATTGAGTTTGGTCTAAATATCATTTGATAACTGAGTTTAGTATGTTAAGTCAAATGATGTGTGTGAAAAGTTGTGTGTGAAAGAGTGTGTTTTAGAGATATGTCTATTAAGTAAAAGTAGTTATTTATGTCAAGAGTCACAAGTATGAATAGACACAACTCATTGTGTTAATATCTGTTTGTTTTGTATATAAACCAATTTTGTCTTGTTGTAATTAACAAGTTTCAGATTCAATAAAAGTTTCTATTTCATTTATGTTCTTTTATAGAAGAAAAGAGATAATCTTTATATCTTACTCTGTTTCTTCTCTCTTACTCTATTTTGGGAATCAATATTCCAACAGTTACTTCATCTTCCCCCACCCGGCACCCCGAAACGACAGCAGTTTTGACATCCTTTCACTAGTGGTTCAAAGGCTGTGGCACTGGAAAAAGTGTCGGAGCTCCTATATCGTAAACCCCATTTGTCACTGTTTCTGGATCACGTTGATAACTGCGGCAGCTATGGAAATAGAGTCAGACCTCCTAAACCCAAAACGGCAAAACCCTGTTTTCCCCTTCTCTCAGATCACACTCGAAAATATCAACTTGTCTTTGAAACATTGAAAAAGTGTCTTAAAACTAATGAAAAACTAGGTGAGGACCTGCGCCAAACGCGGGCTTGCGATGTATACAAAACTGATCACAAAATTTATAAAGGAGATCATTGATAAGTAGGAGATTTTTAAGTTATATATAATCTTTTAAAATAATATGTTTTAAAATTCTCTTATTCTAACAATACTAACTATCATGAATCATTTATTTAATTTTTTTTTATAATGGTGAAAAGTTTCGATAGTTGGATAATGGTATTGTGATCTGTATCGTTAATAAACCCATAAATTTCGATAGTTGGATAATGATACTTTTGGAAAAATTAATTACTTTATCAACCATGACCACTATCGTTATGTGCATTAATAATTGTTGATGTACAACATTCCAATACTGCAGATCTTTAAGTTGCAGTTTGTTTCAGTGTGTATTTTTCAAACACCATTATGGTTTTGTACTCGATTTCCTTTATGTTTAATAAAAGTATCGATTCTCGACAATCAGGATAACCATTAATGAAAAAAGAGAAAGAGTATTTCTGAATCATAAGTAAACCAAACTGTTATTAAAACAAACTATTTAATTAGTAAAGGTCTAAACCAAAACAAATAAAAGAAACTATCGTTTCTTTATATTCTGAAAGACGGCTTTGTATACAACGTTCAAAGTATTGGTTTGTGGCTTACCTATAGTATCCATTATAAGAATCTTCAAACTAGCTCTCGAAGTAACACGTGATATAGCCACATAAAGTTATCCATGGAAAACTGGTTTTGGTAAATACAATCCAACCTTTTACAAAGTCTGTCATTGGCTTTTATTGATAGTCATTGCATAGGCAATCGCTACAGAAAATTGTTTATGCCTCATTCTAAAAGGAAACATTGTCTTGATGGGGGAAACAAACATTCGTAGGATCAAGACCTTTTGACCAATATACTCACCAGTTATGAGGCTAGCTTGAATAACATGTTTGGCCAATCGTGTTACGAAGAGTCTGCTTCCATTGCATAAACCACCTCTAGGGTCAATATTCTAAACCATCATAATAGGTGTTTGTAATTTCAATTCATGGTTTGGCAATCCTAAGATCTTAAATATACTATTAAGATATTCTTGGGTGTAGACTTGTTTGACAATCTTGTCCTAAATCCTAAACCCCTTGCACTGGCATGAGGATTTCAAAAAGGTACAAAAGAACTTGATTCTATAAACTGACTACTGATGAGAATTAAAACAATTATTT